AAATGTAATACGGGTGAAACCGCGGCCAAAGCTAGTGTTCAATAAATGTCTTTATTGTTATATAATGTTTGAATTAGATAATAATAAAAAAAATACTCACATACACTCCCATCAATGTCGTAAGTGAGTTGCTTCCATGCAAACACTTCGTCGAATTTACCAAGTTTTTGTCTTATATTTTGGGCTGACGACAAAACCACTATCGTTGCGTAGATTTGAAAAAACAAATATTGCCTTTGCCTCATTTTTTATTTTAAAAAACTATCCACAGAACTGCCAAGCCACATAAAAAAAGAAAAAATCTTGTGTTTTGCACTTTAACACTCTTTTATTACGAGCACTTTAGTTATTTTCACTTTTCTTTATTTAAAATGCAGGTAGATATTTGGTACGTTCAATTCAAAATGAAAATTTTCCGAAATCAACTTTAATAGTCCACATTTTAAAGTCGATATTCCAAAATTTATAATTTCAGACTTAATACAGTTTGGTATTAGACATGCCAAATCAGCAGATATTAAATTATTATACAAATACCTTTTTTATTTTTATTTTTTATAAAAAGAATATATTTGTCTATGGTCAGAAAATTAAAAACATTGCATTTACTATGTATTATAATAAATATAAATATTCAATAAGTGAATAGAAAACAACGAGTAATGGAAAATTATTAAATATATATATAAACTTATAACACACGTCCTGACGTAAGGTTAAGTTATGAACTAATGGTTCGTCTCTTGACATTAACTTGTTTATTGGCCTTATGTATACAAGTCGTCTTAATCGATACCTACTGACCGATTTATCGTTTAAATAGAATTTATAATAGCTGTTTTATATTACAGTTTTCAAATTGTTGTTCCTGTGCCATATTTTTAATGTAGTAAAAAAAGTGAAGTATAAAAAAATATCTATATTGATTTTTTATATCCGTCATACTCGTGAACGGGTGCTGCATGTCGGAGCTGGTCTGTTCAGGTTACGAACACTGATTACTGACTTTTTGCTTTTGCAATATCATATGCTGGTGGTCACTCTATTCTCCCAAATTTGAATTTAAAAATCTATCTGTATTATTGTAAACAATATTTTTTAAATGTGCTATGTAAAGAAGTCAAGTATATACATGTAATTTTTTTTTTTTTTTTCTTAAAAAGCAAGTGTATAAGTATGTAATGTTTTTTATTTTATCTTATATATAAAATTCTCGTGTCACAGTTTTCGTTCCCATACTCCTCCGAAACGGCTTGACCGATTCTCATGAAATTTTGTGAGCGTATTGAGTAGGTCTGAGAATCGGCCAACATATATATTTCATCCCCCTAAATGTTAGGGGTAGTCCACCCCAATTTTTTTTTTTTATTTTAAGGCAAAACAACGTTTGCCGGGCCGGCTAGTTTTATATAAATTGATTTTGGGATTTTTATTACATAACATGTCAACCCCATTGTACTGGACCTAATTATTATGTTTACTTTGTTAGTGGTAGTTTATAACTTAAGTGCTGTCGTCGTCGTCGATGTCATATTGTATTAATTTACTGATAAAGGCTATATCTAAAACTGTGATTGGTACAGTTTATGCTGTAAATAATATAAATGACGTAGTGGAGTAACTTGAAACAGTCATGCTCGCTATAAAGTTCAAACTTGTGGCGGCGTGGTGGGCCGGGTCGATGTGCTCCCTCTAATATGGTTGAGTGCAATGATGGCTGGCTCATCCGTCATACTCGTGTACGGGTGCTGCTTGTGGGGACTGGTCTGTTCAGGTTGCGAACACTGATTAGATTTTTTGATTTTTTTGATTTTTTTATATAGATTATGCTGGTGGTCACTCTATTCTCCCAATTTTTAATTTAAATGAAATAGTATTATTGTAAATATGTACAACATTAAAAAAAAATACGAGCTGAGTTTCTTACCCGTTCTTCTCATCTCTAAATAATTCCGAACGACGGTAGATTTGACATATCATAAGAGTCTGTAATAGACCTACATGAACTAAGATATTTTGAATTTGAATTTGAATTTGAATCAGAACAGCAGAGAGGATGGACTCACTGCACCCACTGAGTTATAGACCGTTTTGTCTCAATTTTTTTGTTTATGGATAATAATGGAATGGTGCAACCGCCTGTGATAACGGTATACGCTGGAAGGGCACCAGTGGAAGATGATAAGATGAGCATGAGGTCAGGTCAGTTAGTACTTTGTGACAAATTCACCAAGAATTTATCACAATGGTTTCCAGGGGGAACCGCGTGGAGGTCAACCTATATAGAGGTATATTGCTAGCAATGGAGTTATTAATACTCATTACTAACAAATAATAACAATGTATTTATTTGATGCTGAATTGCCCACTTTGTTAGTATTACAGATTTCTTATAATTAATGTTAGTACGTACAGAAAAAATTAAAAATTAAATTAAAATACATTCACATATAAATATAAAAATTAATATAAAAATCACCGCTGTACCATTCCATTGGAAATAGCACAGCAGTGATTAACATACGCACAGTCCAGCCTGCCCGCAATCATGCTCAGGATGCTGTTGGTACTGGCACGTACCCCCCGCACCAGGGATGCGCATCTTTTCCGCATTGTACCATAAAAACAATCCACACGGTACTCCGCGAACATCCCTGATGCACTTCAGAATCGCGACTGCCCTCTACAATTAACACCCTGAATGCATTATTGTACTGAACGTGAAGTCCGCTGTTTTCAAGGACTTTTGGGCGTATGCAGCCCACAGATTGCAGGTATAAAAGGATGTACAAAACGATCTAAACAGAGTGATTTTGACATCCCTAAAACGCCTCGCAAACCTATGCGCTATCATATTCGCCCTCACCGCCAGCGCCCTCTTTTCCCGTTCAATATCGTCTTTATACTTGAGGTCAGAGTTCAATAGATGTCCCAAGTATTTGAAATTATACCCATTCCAGCTTTATGCCATTGAGTTTGACTTCGGGAAAAACATCTGTATTATTGCCTCTGGCCTCGAAGACCACGACTTTACTTTTTATTGCATTATAAACCAGACCGTGCCGACGCGCATATGACTCACAGATAGCCATGAGTCTTCTAAGTCCACATACTGACGCACTCAGAAGCACCATGTCGTCCGCATAACTTATATTATTTACATTTACACCGTCTATATGACAGCCGACATGAGTGCTACCCAATGCAACTATCAGTTCATTAATATACAGATTGAAAAGTATCGGCGACGACAACCCCCCTTGCCTCACGCCACACTCCAATCTGTATGACTGTGACATGGTACCCGCCCATCGGACGCTGTTGGCCTGATTAGCATACCAGTATTTGTGGATATTTATGAGATCTGGTGGAAAATTAATTTCCTCAAGCTTTTTCCACAAAATATCATAAGAAACCAGATCAAGTAATAATAATAATCTCAGGACAATTCACACAGCGCCATCTAGTCCCAAGTTAAGCTAGCTAAAGCTTGTGTTATGGGTACTAGACAACTAATACAAATACATAGATTTTTTTTTTCGTAAATACATACATATTATACATAGAAAACACCCAGACCGACACAAACAATTATACTCATGAATACAAATGTTTGTGCCGTGCGAGGAATCGAACCTGCGACCATCGGAGGTAGGACGGTGTGCTAAACCACTAGACCACCGAGGTGGTCTAGTGGTACTGCTCTTGACAGGTCTAGAAAGCATGGATGGACTGGCGTTTTCCGATTAGTATAATATTGGACGGCATGCTTCACACACGACACGCAGTGTCGTGTTTTCAGTTGACAATCCCTTTTGAAAGTCAAATTGATTGTCATGTATTTTTATATGTTGAGTCAACCTTGAGTTAAGCATGCCGTCAAATACCTTCGAGACAACTGTGGTTAATGAGATGGGTCTATAGTTATTTTTATTTGATACATCAACAGATTTACTCTGAATTATAGGTTTCACCAATGTATTAATAATCTCTTCTGGTATATATGAGTGACTGATACAATTAAAGAGCATAGCCAACAGTCGCGAGAGGTGGGGACCCGCATGCTGTAAATGCTCAATACAGACTGACTTACCTCTAGTCATGGATTTTATGATCAGGTCTATTTCTTTAGCATTACATCTAATTTTCACCTCTTGGCCAGACTCAACACTAAGCATAGCATGCGAGGGCCCCAATGACGATTTAATCGTGAAGTGATCCCTAAAAAGATTAGCTATATCCCCGGCATTGCTAACACCGTCAACACACACGGGAATGGTCGACTTTGAATTTAGCTTCTTCGTGGCTTTCCAGAATGAACGGAAGTCATTTGTTGAATGATGAGATGCCAGAATATCCATTTTTATTTGCTCTTGATGGTTCTGACACCACCTAAGACGTTTCTTAAAATGTTTTCTGGCCTCACACATATCATTGTCAAATATGCCGCTATTTGGTTTACCATAATGACGCCCGCGGGTACTGTGAGACTCCTACTCACTAAAAACTCCAAGATGTCCCTCATCCAACGCCATGTGCCGGAGTCGCGGGATCAAATTATAGTCGACCGCAACTCCGACGGCGGTGGCCCACTCTACAGCGGGCCCCATCTCTGCGGGTTCCCTATTTTTTTTTTTTTAAAGGATGATAATGGAATGGTGCACCCGCCTGCGCTATCGGTTTACGCTGGCGGGGCACCAGTGGAGCATGATAGGATGAGCATGAAGTCAGATCAGTTAGCCCAACGCGACAAATTCACCGGGAATGTATCACGATGGTTTCCAGGGGGAACCGCGTGGAGGTCGATCTGACATCTATCTCCCCCCGCGGGTTCCCTATTGGAATCCACCACTTCCCCCGTCTTCCCTGGGGAAGGCGCGTGGGGACATGCGCGCGACTTCTTCGGGCCTAGTGTAGAGGGGTGGGACCGCCCCCGCGGTCGTCACCCCGGCCCGGTAGCGATCTAGGGGCGACTTGGGCCGCCCATGCCTCCTTGATCGCTAGGAGGGGAGCTGGTGTCCATCCCCTCCTGTGGTCCGCTGCTCCGGCCTGATGCCTGAGTGGCTGGCCGCCTCCACCCCTTCCTCTTGGGCGGGGTGCAATTTTTTGCCCCCACCCAGTGGTCTGCCGGCCGGCCCTGTGATGCACAGACAGCACATCTAGGGGGGTCGCCAACGTGTTTGTTCCAACCTACTGTAACCCCCTTTAACGCCTAACATATTTAGGGCTTTTACAAGCCACAGCCGCTCGTCTTACTACATTTGCTATATCGTTATACAAGTTATCTATTGTTTGTTTATGTTGTAAAATATTACATGTTCGATCGGCACAGTTATAGAACTCTGGTGGATAATCGAAAGTTTATAATTGAGTGTGACAGTTATTATAATACGAGTCTATTTGACCTGTGCTTCTTTCACCCCATACTACATTATTAGGTACGGATTTTATTTCATGTATTTTAGGTGAGAGAACATCTAAATTACATTCTACAATTAACGGAAAGTGGTCAGACCACAGTATGTCATACCCTATGTATATATTACATACAGAGGCCACGGCCGCTTTAGATACTACACAGTGATCTAACCATCTCTGTGACCCGTGAGCCTCACTCACAAAAGTAAAACAGTTAGATACATTTTTTAACATATCTACATCTATACAAGTCCATTCTTGTTCATCACAAAACATTTAGGAAACTCAGTTTGAGAGAACTCTCAATTATTATTGAGAGTTCTCATAAAAATATCAGCTTTATTAAAATGACGTAAGTTTATTTATAAAATAGTATAGTTTAGGGGGGTCCGGCGGGGGGTTGGAACCACACTAAGGGTCTGGCAATGAGCAGAGCAAGTTATAATAATGCTACGAACAATATATGAAAATATGGAGTTTCTTAAAATAACGAATTTGATATGAAATTGTATACACCGTTGTTACCCAATATACGGTTTCAATGAGTCTGGTAGGATAAGGAACCAAGAAAACTGTCTGGCAATTTAGGAAACTCAGTTTGAGAGAACTCTCAATAATATATATAAATTTCAGCTTTATTAAAATGACGTAAGTTTATTTCTAAAATAGTATAGTTTAGGGGGGTCCGGCGGGGGGTTGGAACCACACTAAGTGTCTGGCAATGAGCAGCGTAAGTTGTAATAATGCTACGAACAATATATGAAAATATGGAGTTTCTTAAAATAACGAATTTGATATGATTTTTTTTACACCTTTGTTACCTGGTACCTGCCAAAGGAACCACGATCCAGGTTTCATGTTTGGGGATCGTTCTTACCTGTGTTGGGGACACACATACAAGAACTTTCACGTTTACTAAAATGACGTATGTCTGGGAGTCGTGGGCTCTTGGGCTATAGGCATATACAAACTTATCACTAAGACTGACCGCTCACTTAACAATAGTTTTATCGCACTTATACGCGGGTTATCACATGGCACTATTACGACATGGGGAAATACACTGTGCCGCCAGAGAATCGCGACTCCACCGTGTGGTCGCCCGCGTAGCATCCCCGCCGTCGTATCCACTGCCGACGTCCCAGTGGAGGTAAACTCATCATCAATGCTGCTTAAATATAACAAATCACTGGGCAGTAACCATGTCTCTTGTAGAGCAACTATATCAGACAGTTTACAGAGCAATTGAAGCTAGCAAATTTGTAGGTTGTACTATCTATTATTTTGATATATAGTGCCGTTATGGGAATTATGAGTATTCCCAGTCGAACTTTTTGTTTCAAAATGCACGAAGCGTCGAAAAATTATGCCTTTAGGCCACAGTTTCTCATCTAAAAATAATTGTTCTTTAGATTGCGCAACAAAGAACTTATAAGCATCATATTCACTTTTCCTTTTCATAGTAATCTTCTCTAGATTGACAGAAAAAAATTCACGTATAGTGTACACAGATATTGACTCGAATAAATGTGTTTGCATAACATAAATTGTTGTTGTTACATATTTATATGAACTATCGTTTATAAATACATTTATCGCAATGGAAATAAACGTTTTAATTACTTCTGTTTGTATAAACCAATGAACAAAGAGGTACCGTGTGGTCAAAAAGCTGCTTTTGAGGGTTCTAATTGAAACTACTATTCAATAGGGATGATAGGAATTTATTAAAAAAAGATACTATAGAGAGGTAATTTTTTTTTCGGACTACTCTAATGCTGTTGTTGGTGGTTGGGATCGATCGGAGGGGCGCCCGGTTGAATGCGCGATATTGTGTGTTTGAGGTCGTCGTCTTCGCCGGCGAGGACGGTGTCGTGTGTGTGTGTGTGTGTGTGTGTAAAAGTGTTGTCGGGGTTTAACGGGTGGGCCCGTGGGGAGTTTACCTGCCGTTGTGGGGTCGTCGGGGTCAATGAGAACGTGCCTCGGGCGACATTGTCGCGTATGTCAGATATTACTCCTAGGGGAGAGGTCATTAAAATCAAAAACATCTTGATAGCGCCATTTACATTTACCTGTGGCGCTATCTAGTTTGCACGGAGTGAACTTACATTTGTAACTAATAAATACTTAAATAACCAGAGGTTACCAAACTTTTATGTCGTAGATCCCTTGCCATATTTATCAGTTTTGGATAGACCCTCTATTCTTACCTAGTATAGATTTTTTGTAAATTCCTAACTGTAGTAAAGTTTAGTGTTAAAAATATAAAGTAAAAACAATAAGATGACCGTTGTCGTAGACCCCTTGCAGTTTGTTATAGACCCCTCAGGGTCGATATACACCACTTTGGGAATTACTGGTATAACACTAGTGGGTTGCTCTGCCTTTACTTGTATGAACTATAGCTTTGCGAGTGTTGTATATATTAACATATGATCTCCTCAGTTCAATTCAGACGGGGATCGAAATTACGACGGCTTCAGCCGAGGTTCGAACCCCTAGCGGTGCCCTCAGACTAGTCATACCAGTCAGACGGGAGTTGGCCTTCAGCCGCTCCATAAGTCCTTCCTTTAGAGTGGCATCTAGGATACAATGTTCAGGAATGTCAATAATTTTATCAAGTCTTCAAATACACTATTTTATAAATTATAACTTGGTTCTTAACTGTGATTTATAATGATCTTAGGAGGTGAAATTTCGGTTATATCAGTTTTAAAACTGCCGCATCATAATCGGCATTTCCGTTTTGGTAAATATCACACCACACAGTGATATATTGACGTTAAAACTACTTTCGTTGGGGATTAAAAAAAACAAAATGTCTTGAATTTATAATTTTAATAAAAAAAAACTATGTATTTTTTTAAGATTAATAATTAATATGCATTTATTTGCACATTACAGTTAGTAAGAAAAATTTTATAAATACAATAATAATATATGTATGTATATGCCTTGTTGGCTCAGTGGTTTAGTACACCGCTTTACATCCGATGGTCGCGGGTTCAATTTGTATTTTAAACATTTGTATTCATGAGTATGATTGTTTGTATGTTTATAGTCTAGGTGTTTAACATGTATATTATATCAGTAGCATAGTACCCATAACACAAGCTCTGCTTTCGTTGAACAATCTAGTGACGGTAGATGAAAAAACTGCAGTCACCTATGTACATTGACATCGCTGGTACTCTAGTCAGCTCGTGACCACGGCTAGTACAACAAATCGTGTTAAGACCCGGTTAATAATATAAATAATGTATATTAAACACGAAAGTTAAAATATAACAAGCTCTGCTTAACTTGGGACTAGATGGCGCTGTGTGAGTTGTCTAAGTACATTATTATTGTTATTATAGTGAATATAATTTATCTTCCCTTCTAACGATCTTGTACAATAGTTTTTATCACTTTCTTTCACACACTGTACCCTTTATTAAATCTTGTAACTTTGCCCTGAAATGAAATTAAAAAAAAAACATTACTTTTTCACTATTAAAATATCGTCGGTTAAATAGAAAAATGTCATTTTTCAAAATTAGAACCTAGAATTGTCTCCTTTTATATAAGTCAATTAAATTAACCACGCCGGCTTAATCATTATCTAAATACTTTTAAAATGATATATAATAACTCTGTGTAAATTTAAAACTTTAGAGGAAAAATAATTTAAATAAATTTAAAAAGTTTAAACGCTTGACTACAAGACAATACAAAAATGTACATTTTGGCTAAAACTGCTATGTCGTGTAATAGTATTTTAGGAATGGGACCTAGAATATATAATAATCTTCCAAGGGCATTAAAATCTATTGGTAATATCCATCAATTTAAAACTGCTCTTAGAAATATACTGATTGGTAAAACTTACTACACGGTTGGTGATTTCCTGACTGATACATTCACTTAAAGACAATTGATTAATGACTATCGGTATGATGACGTAGTACAGTAATTTTATTTCCTTAAACATTAATTGTACCTACAATTTGAAATTTTGCACACCTCTTACGAGGTTAATGTACGGATCTCAACAACATATTTATAACACCTTATTGTTTACCTACATTTGGCAAATAAAGTATTATTATTATTAAGAATTCTATCATTTTTCTATTTAACCTATATTTAATTTGTATGTCAATGGATTTTTGGCGGGAAAACTTTAAGAAGCACATACAAATATTTATTTTTATTTATTTATTAAATGACCCGCTCAACATCGCCTGCATCACACTTGCTTGACATTTAGCACTATATATCGCCCAATTTACGTAATATCTTAATAAATTATAGCCTATGTGTTGTTCTGGTGTAGAAACTATGTTATTGTAAAGTTTAATCAAAATCCGTTCAGTAGTTTTTGAATATTAATTTTAAGTTTTGGAATTAAAAACGCGAAAGTTTGTGAGTATGGATGTTTGATATTCTTTCACGCAAAAACTAATAAACGGATTTTGATGAAACTTTACAGTAATATAGCTTATGCAACAGACAGGCTATATTTTTTATTGAAATTTATATATTGAAATGGGTGAAACCACGGGCAGAGTTAGTATGAAAATAAATTAAAAATAGTCTCTAAAGCAGGACGATGCAATTTGATCCCCATTTAATTGGGACAGGGCCATCCCGATCCTCATTTGAATGGGACAGGGCTATCCCCAGTCCCGTTAGAGGATTTACCTGTGTATGAAATAGTTTTCTACGCTAGGATTCAGTTTGGAATATACAAATGTAGGTATTTGATTCACTAGGACCCATACATCATCGCCGGATACTTTGAGGTCTGAAAAAAAAATGTAATCATTTGTCAAGACAATCAGATAAACATTGTCATCTGCTGCGGGTTATATACGATGTTGATGTATATATATGATGTTGTAATCACACACTTAAACTTAAAAATGTAAAGTAATAATAAAATTATTTAAAAGAGCAACACGCAAGTTTCTTGATCGTTCTTCTTGTGATGAGACAGCTTTCCGAATGAGCGATAGATAAAAAAATGTAATGACTATTCAAAAGTGCTTCAATGTAAGTTTATTTGAATAAATGATTTTCTATTCTATTCTATTTTGTTGTCGGTTGAGACGATGTAATACACATCGTCTCAACCGAAAGACAGGCGACAGACAGACTGACAATATGTACATAAAAATATTGATCTTATTATACTTACTAATATTATAAATGCGAAAGTAACTCTGTCTGTCTGTCTCGCTTTCACGCCAAAACTACTGAACCGATTTAAATGAAATTTGGTACACAAATAGTCTAGAACCTGAGGTTTAATCCGAAAAAAGGTTTGTAAGGCGTTGAAAAGGGCATGAAAGGTTATATGGAAGTATCGACAATTTACGCGACGAAGTCGCGGGTATATCTAGTACTAAATAACATTTTATTATTAACTAGCTGTACCTCGACTTCGTCCGCGTGGAATTCAACTTTATGTTTCTAATATAAAAAATATTTTCTAAAATACAAGTAGCCTAAGTTAATCCTTATTACAACAGCTATCTACCAATAAAAGTCCCGTCAAAATCGGTTCAGCCATTTCAGAGCGTTAGCCGGAACAAAACAGATGGACATACAAAAATTTGAAAAAAATGTTATTTTGGTGTATGTACCATATTTATATTCATATGCATGTAGTAAAAAACTGTCATTTCAATATTACAAACAGATACTCCAATTTTATGTATATGTATAGATTGTTTACCAGATATATATACAAGTTTTCCTGGTCCTGTGCTACGATGGCCACATTTTCAGGTTTCATTTCGGTGTCTACATTCCAACACAGAATGGCATCTTGTGCGACATTGGCGTACAGCAAATGTTCTGGAGCCATAATGGTAGTCGTGAGACCCACTCTGTGTTAGAGGTCCTCTATTGCCGAGGGTCTGAAAAAAATTGAGACCAATCGCAGATTATATACTCATAAATAATTATACAGATATATGTATATATCTCGGTAGTCTAGTTGTTTAACATACTGTTATTTTTTGGGTCGACTGTCGAGTATGAACTTTCTTATGATTGTGAAATATCGTATTTAGTAATTTATTTTTATTAGGTTTGGTTAGGTACCTTACAGGTCAGAGCCAGGCTTCAAGCGCTCCACCATACTCTACCCTGGCTACGTCCATGTTGATAACTTACCATAACTTTCCCATCAATACCACCACTTATAGACAACTCTTGAGTAGACACTAGAGGATGGTAATAAACGGTTCTTATGCCATTCGTATGCTGTTCAGATAGTGCTATATGTATATGTAATATTATCCTACCTGTGATATTAGTAAGGAAATGATGTATTTAAAAAATATGTGTTTAATATTCATATCAGTTGTCCAGTACCCATAACACAAGCTCTGCTCAGCTTGGCACTAGATGGCGCTGTGTGAATTGTTCTCGGATATTATTATAGTCTATGTGGTAATTAAATTACCTGCCACACTGAAATTCAAAGCGTTATTGTCATGAACAAAACTGCTATGATTTATCCTCCAGCTGTCTCTTTTCTCTCCGATCGATCCCCCGTCCAATTCAAACGGGGATCGAAATTACGACGGAGCCGAGGTTCGAACCCCTAGTGGTACCCTTAGACTAAAGTCGTATTCGTCAGGCAGGAGTCGGCCTTCAGCCGCTCCGTAAGTCCTTCCGCAGGTTTATAATGCCATCTGCACTCGCCCCCTAACGTCCGGTGAAGCTGTAAAGGCCAGCTGCAACCAACAGCATTAGATAAGTCCAAAAAAAAGCTGTCTCTTTCTTTCATGGAGGACACTATAACACCTTTCGTAGCTAAATCGTTGATGTAGGCATATGCGTCTTCACATGACTTTGGGTCTACATCCACTGTGATTGAGGTCAGTCCTGGAAACAACGTGTTTCTATATTTACCAGAACTTTACTTACTATAACTTTCCCATCAATATCACCACTTCTATTCTTCAAATGTTGGGTGTTTATAGAAAACTCTTGAGTAGACACTAGAGGATGGTAATAAGCTGTTCTTGTGCCATTCTTATGCTGTTCAGAT